GTAGCATGTTTGGCCACAAACAAACCGAAATGTTGACTGTTTTTTTCAAGTAAACATATTTTCATGTAGTTTGAAGACTGTAGATACGTAGTGTTAGTATGCACTGTAGCTTTGGAAGTTTTCTGATCATAAGATTATAAAGTTTCTTTGTGAATGTATATGGTTTTAAACGCCAGAATTGCTTTATTCTGCCGATCAAACAGTCGTTTACACTTCTTCAGTATAGAGCATTGCAGGTTTTGTTTTGATTATGACGTTGCCTCAACAACATTGTTCTGGACTATTAGCTGAAGATGTTGTAAGTATCATAAAGTAAGAAATTTTTTGTCTGTTTAGAAATTTACTCCACGTAATTTATATAACTTTTTAGAAATTTTTCAGATTATGCAATTATAAGGTGCAGAATTTTGAAGCAATTGGCAACATGTTTATAAATGTGAGCTGATTTGCTTCTTTCTTTTCCCACTCTTCTAGAACCCTAGGGCTCTATATAGGTGATCTTATTGGGTTAAGGCAGCTCAGTGATTAAAGTAGCGAAAGCCAATTTCCAAAAGTAGAACGGGAATCTTTTTTTCAGAAGTTCTCTAAGAGGTATAGCGTCCTCACCTTGGGTTCAGCTTTGATTATAGCGCTTGGTGAGCATAATATCCGTACAAAATTGCAGCAACGACTGGTGTTGCTCTACCTTATTTACAAGTAATCATGTTTTTTGGCAGTCGGGCTTTTACTTTAAAGCACTTTTCAGCATGTTGTAATTAGCATACATCGTTCTACAAAGTTCTGCAGAGTTAAATTTTAGAGTAAACGACTTGGATATTCCGCAGGTAGAGGTCACAAAAAGAACTAAGGAAGAAACTCTGGAACATTTGCAACTGCATCCTTTCTTATCTTTCCTTCTTTTTCTTATGGTATTGATAATGCCACTTATTGTCTGCTTCATACTCATAGTTTGGAAAAAGAATTAGCCAGATTTCACACAGCCTTTTTCAGGTTTTTACTTGTGGGTTTTCCTAGTTACTTAAACAAGTTTGATGTATTTTCAGGGTGAGGAAAATTTGATGGGCTGTGCGGCTTCTCAGTTTAACTCGACTTTTACGCCCATTCCTTTGATGCCGCAAGAACGGTACCTATTGGGGCTTCTCCTTACTGGAAAATGTGATGAGGTTTCAAAGCGTAGTCCATCTGACTTTGTTCAAATGGTAGTTCATCAGGAAGAAGTAAAGTTTTTGGTGAATTCGTCTTTGTTCTTCACATCTCGAGCATCTGGCTTTTTTTACTTCAATCCTTTTAGGTTTTTGATTTACGATGGCTCATAACCTCACTGAAATCGCAGCAGTCTAACTATTCGAGTCTTGCAAAAGCTTCAATGCCAGCTTACTTAAAAATTTCTGAGGAGGGGAAATTCCCGTAAGTCGCCTTGAATAATACTACCCGATTTATTTTTGTAATTGGCAGTTTGATGAGTGATGGTTTAGAGAGAGCCTTGATGAATTGGAGTCTTCTTTGATTGATATAATAGTCAATAGACGTATGTCCGACATATTCCCACCTCCTTTCTATCGTTTTGTACCTACGCTTATGCCGCCATCTGACGATGAGGTTTCTAGCTTCTGCATTATAAGGATGTTTATCTTTTCACACCTATAACCTTTTGTTTAGTTTCAATTCCTTTATCCATTCCTTCTTGAACCTTTATGGATGGATGCTGAAAGCTCAAAAGGAGATTTGGGAGTTGATGATGGTTCCAAGGGAACAGTTCCTGAAAATAATGCAGAAAAACTGAAAGGTGAAGCGGGGTCTTTGAGTGCATTGCCTACTTTAAGTACAGACACTAGTCCTTGTGGGAGTGAAAAAAAAGTTCGTTTACTAGTGCTTTTTCTGTTACTTGGTAATTCCTGTCAGTATTGATGATTTTTTGGAAGAAGTGTCATCTTTTCTTAAAACTCCTCGATTGATTCACTAATAGCTGTATTTTTATAGCTGGGAAGTTCTTTGCCGAACTCTCCCAAAAATTCATTTGCTGCTGGAGAGGAGTGTGGAAGATCTACACGGGCTGCGTCAGTCTGTTCTTTGCCGCCAAAACTCGCTTCTCCATCCACTGTTGAGAAGCCTGTAAAAGATTCTTCTCCTTCAAAAGAGGTGATCCGCGTTTGCTGTGGATATTGGATATTGATGTGAAGTTCCCCTGGTTTAAGGACGCTAATTTGCAAATAAGAATTTCGCATAATTTTGAAAGACTTTCATATATGCTATTTCAGTCTCCTTTCACCGTTCCAACCTCTGAGAGTGGAAAGCTGCAGAGAGACGACGCAGTACAATTAATGAATAAGGCGTTACAAGGTGTAATCGCTCGACATGAGGCTCAGAAATTGGCTGAAGCAGTCGCAGCCGACCCTACGATCGCTGAAAGTGTGGAAATTCCTCCAAATTACGTACGTCCTTTTTCTTCTGGAAAAAAGAAGACAAGCACATTGCGTACTAGTTTCCTCTTCGTTTTCACGGATTCAACTGAGTGTTTTCTGAATGATGAATTTAAGGCTTGTTTCTAAATGTCACTAAATAATTCCAGTTCCCAAAATTAATCAATTTTAATCCGACTGTAGCTGCAGCAGTAATCCTTGAACGAGTAAAGAAAAACTCCAGCGAGTTACCGACGTAAGAAATATTTGCTACTTAATCTGTGATATCTTAGTTGGTGTAAACTTTCTGTGTGAACTAGTGGTATTTTATACTCAATACTGATATTTTCTTAAAGCCTTTATAGGATATCTGTTCAGTTTGCTAATAGATTTATCCTCGTTATAATTTTTCGTTTTTCGTGAAAATGTGTGTATGAAACTGAAACTGTGTGCCATAATTTTTAACTTATTTGTTTTAGATTTTTTGAGATGTTAACTAGGATGAATCCTTGCGTACGGGGAATGGAAGTTGTGAATAAGCTTTGTAGTGTAGGTTTTTTGTAATTCTAGAATTATGAAGCGTTTATCTTTAAATGATTGTTTTTTGTGCCTATGTAATGCCTTTTCTTTGCGTACATATATGTATACATATGTATAGTCGCGTTCATTTCTAATTGTATTGCCGAGAATACG